TAGAATTTGGTACTTAGGATTAGATAATTTGAGTATTCCCTGTGGGATCGACATCCGACTCTCACGAGTCCACTTTTCCTACTTGTTTGCGATACGTGCACTTACGTGCCCTTGCGTGTTTCGAAATTATCCAATGCAGCAGCAGACCACTGATGAACAACTTGATTTGGTATCCCTTATTGCCGAATTCATGAAGACCACTCAATCATCATTTCGAAACATGGAGATACAACTGGAAGAGATGACGCTCAAATTAAAATCTGAATCTCTTGAAAATATTCCAGACGAAATCGGCAATGGTTATATCAAAGAAAATTCGGGTGAAGCCTACGGTGAGAAAAATCTTCTATGTTCGGAAAATAGTGTCGATGTGAGAGAAATAGAAATTACGAAGACACTTGAGCATGATGAATCTGAGAAGGCAATCGAGCTAAACAATGAAGATGCCTCAACACAAGAGAAGAAGGAGATGGATGTAATGATTGAAGATATTCTAGTTGTGGACTCTGTCGTTGATCTAAATGTGGATTTGAAGGCATCAATAGTGGTTGATGAGAAGACTAATATTTTTGAGGTGGAGGTTATACGCAGACTGGAGATTTTTGTATACCGATTTGAGGGAGCGGGTGATGAAGATCCCATCTTGGCTTCGTACCGATTGATTACAACAAAAAAAGACTACAAGCTAAGGTGGACTGTGACATATTGCAGTGCTATCCATGCCTTGGTTGCAATTCAAGTGATAGAGCTCATGGATGGATGCGCTATCTACAAGGCTTTGGATTGGACATAACAATTTCAAGAAGCAAAGTCTGGCTGAAGACTTAAAATTTAGCGCTTCCTGGGAGGCAACCCGAGCTTTACTGTTTTTCATATTTTTCTTTAATTTTATGTTTTATTTTTATTTTCATAGGCATGCATTCTAGTTAATTTATTTGATTTCTTATTTTTAAGGTCGGAATTGCGATCGGGACAGTCATCCGAGAGACATAGAGGGCATCTTCGCAAGAGGAAAATCAGATTTATTTCCCACAAATTCTCACACCCCGAAGACAACGATTCCGACTAAATTAGGTGTTTTCTATCCTTAAACTTTGTGCTAATTTCGTTGAGGGCAACGAAAATTTTAAGTTTGGGGGTGAAAAAACATGTTTTTTGTGCTTATTTGTTTTAGTTTGCATGCATTAGGTTTTATTTATTTTTATTTGTTTTTATTGATTTTATCGTTTTTTCCGGAATAAAAAAAATTAAAAAAAAAACAATTGCTTGAGTCGAATGCATTGATGAGTTATAATGATGAGAGATGATCAATGTTTAATGATGAGATTGTTTGTTTTGTGTGATAAGGATTAGATGTTTGTTTAGCTTTCGATTCAACGGAACTTAGAAACGAATTATTGCTAGGAATCACACTTTGTGCATTGCTTTGGTTGAATGTTTTGTATTTTAAATTTGTAGTTAATTTGTGTTAGATCATGCTATGTTCGGTTTTAGACCTCACCTTAGGAAATTTATGATACGAAGTATTGAGTAGTGAGTGATTTGGAATATGATTTGGGCCTTCTTTGAACCGTTTGAGCCTTTCAAGCCGACCTTTTTATCGAAATTATCATTAGAACCTTGATTTGAGCCTCGGAGAAAAGGTGTTCTTTCTTTTAGCCAAAGTGTATAAGGTAGAAAAGTGGAGATTTTTAAAAAATTAACCCTTGGAGTTCGGTCGAAAAATTTTATAAGGTCCTTCTTCTTGGAAAAAAAAAAAGACAAATATATATGCTTCTATATATATAAAAAAAAAAGAAAAAAAAAAGAAAAGAGAAAAAGAAGAAGAGAAGAGACTAGAAGGGAGAAGTAAGGACTAGTTGTTGAATTGTTTTGAAAGCTCGATCCATTGTCTTAAGAGCAAAAGTGGAGACTTTTGAACTCTTAAGAATCGAGTTTCTTAAAGTCCTTAGAGGTGAATTCATTGTTTCAAACGCCTATCTTTCAAATTACTGTATTTCACGATAATTTTTATGCTACACCTGTTGAAGGTTAAATTGGATGGATTTTTACCGTTTATCTACCCACACCAATGTGGGTATGTGTGTATTTGTGTGCTTACAAATATTGAAGATCTACGTAATATATTTCATCCGGTGTAGGATAGTATAAACATTCTTTTATTATGACAATCCAATGAGTGAGATATTGTACATATATTTCATTCTTCCAAAATTGAAATTTAAATAGTTGCTGAAAGTCTTTACCCATACTTTTTTTTTTCTTCTTTTTTCTTCTTACTTGAATCCTATTGTGATGTATCATATTTCTCATCGATTTGTCATATAATGTTTGTACATTTAATAATGAAAATTTCTCTCTCTTGATAACATAAAACACATATCTCTACAAGAGTACAAGGAAGAGAGAGATAGATCCATGAATCACATTTTAATGTCATCTCGATTAATTTCTCTCTTTTTATTCTATTAGTTTACCTAGGGAATTTGTTTTGAGTTCTAATATTGTTATTATTTATAACTTGGAAAATAAAATAGAAATCATGAGAACAATAGCGAAATTCATAAATTGTAGTTCCTTCAACACTCGCATCAATTTTTATTAAATTTGGAAACTCAGAAGAAGATTAATTAAGAGCTTTGATTTGAGCATCGAAATCAAGATGTCAAGAAGTATGGAGCATGCCGTAAATAATAAGCTATTTGGAGGGTCTTCAAGTTCATGTTCGTCGCTTATCGAATCCGGCAGGGATGGCTCTTTTAAGTTGATAATGGAAGACGACATTTGAATCACGACAGAATCCATATCCGAGTTTTGTATTTTGATTTAATTTTCACACAAAACTAGGAATCACATGCTAGAAAATTTTTAATTATATTTTTTCCTACAAAGTTATGTTTGAGTTACACGAATCGGATCAGTTAGTATCAGAGCGACTCTAATAAATTTGTACGAGATTAATGCCATATTTTTCAAATTGGAAACGAGTTTATGCATCCAGGGGCACACCCACCCTACGGTAAGAGTGGGCGTGCGCCCTGCGAATATTTTTCTTTTACAAATTAATGTAATATTTAAATATTTATGTAAATATGAGTTATTAACCCTCACCGTGAACGACTACAAAGCCATTGCCTGAGCGGTATCGGGAGGGAAGGGTTATTCCGTTCCGATACATTTATAAGGCCAACTAAAAATAAAAAAAAATGCCTAAAAGACCCTCACTACGTAAAAACAAAAAAGGAAAGTTTTTTTCTTCTACATCTCAAACCATATAAAAAACAAAAAAAAAAGGAGTTTTTTTTTCTTCTGAACCTAGGGGATGAAATAGATCGGATTAGGGATAGCAACGGAGCGGGTACCCTCGAAAAAGTGTAATACCAAAACCATTACCATTTAATATAGCTCAAACCACGACCATACCAAACTCATTTAAAAATTTAATGGAAATACCATAACCATTACTACGAATATCCGAATACCCACGGATACCCATTTACCATTTAAATTGTGCTAATAAAAATAACTTTGGGTCCGATAACATTTAAGAAACTCTCAGAAAAGAGGAAGAAAAAAAAAAAGAAAAGAACAAAAAAGTAAATGATACAAATATATCCTCCCTAAATTATTTAATATTTTTTTTAAAGTTTTGCTAAATTGTTATTTTTATTCATATTATTGAATTAATATATATATATATATATATATATATATATATATATATATATATATATATATATATATTATATGGTCGGTACCTGATCCGGACAGATTTACACGGCCCAATAAGACAAGGCCCAACAGAGTTGACCCACCCTCATGGAGAAGATAAAACCATATGGAATATGGGCTTATTTGCCCATTTCATCAGATCTTTATAAATGGCCCAAAATATTGAGCCCACAAGTGAAAGGCCCAAAGAATATAATACATTGTGAGTACAGACGAATTAGGAGACCCCGACGAGCTGGAGACTTGAGAGCTCTTCGACGAACTGGAGACCTCCAAAAGAGCTAAAGATAGCTGACAAGTGCCAAGTGTTGAGCGCCGAGCATCGAGCCTGAGTGACGAGCCAACAAGCGTCGAGCTGACGAGTGCTGAGTCGCCGAGTGCCGAGCACCGAGCACCGAGTGACGAGCCAACGAGCGTCGAGCTGACGAGTGCTGAGCCGCCGAGTGCCGAGCACCGAGCGCCGAGTGACGAGCGTCGAGCCCCGAGTCGACGAGCGCTGAGCCGACGAGCGCCGAGCACCGAGCGCCGAGTGACGAGCCCCGAGCGACAAATCGACGAACGTTGAGCGCCGAAGTGACGAGTGCCGAGTGTCGAGCGTTGAACGATAAGCTCTAGATGCCACCTCATAACTTAGACACTAAGAATAGAAAATATCTTCATAACTTAACCACTAAGACTTATAGTCATGGATTTGAAATAATTCTATTAATCGAATTGGATAAAAGCAATGACATCCGGAAAGCCTTTCCTATAAATAGAGGTTCATAAACCTCAAGGTGAGTATTCTGGATCCTACCATTTCTCTCGTGAATATATTTCTCTGAATCTTTGAGGTGTTCTAACTTGGGCATCGGAGTGCTAACGCCGAGAGCACCTCTCCCGGTCCCTTTTGCAGGTCCGATGAACAGGCCCAGTATAGAACAGAGTTGAAGAATCGAGTTTTCTTGAAGCGGAAAAACCAAACTGCATCATTGGCGCCGTCTGTGGGAATGAAAATAACAGTCGTACGAGCTTGCTATCTCTTCGTGGGGAACAGGACGGATTAACCACTGTCCAGCGAACAAGTTGAAATCAACTGGTTCCTTCCTTCAAATTAGAGACCTCAGCTGATTCATTAGCAACCCCCGGTGGATAATATTTTTATTTTGTTATGGCTGTAACAGAATAGGGATATCCCAATTAACTAAATATAGCCTTCTATCTTCTAGAGGCGTGCATATTTGGTCAGATTGATGATATGTGATGAATAAATGATGTAAATAAGTCGTGGTATCTTGCCAATTTCTTGAAGACCAGCGCACTCAAGTCTTCGATCAATACATCTTCGCCGTCGTCCGACGCTTCCTTGATTGCCCAAAAAATTGGCTGGAATTGGAGGGTAAAATGCTAGTGATTGGCCGCAATTTCTAGAGTAAACGGGGTCCTGGAGCTGCCTAAGTCTCTATTTTAGACTCCTAGCATCACAACGAAGTTGTTCGATAAAATGCCAGAATGAACAAGCTATTGGTTGGACACTTTGGAAGCCTTGTCCGAGGCTCACTGTCAACATTTCATTATCCAGCATACCCAAGTGCAGTCACATAAGAGGGAAGTTTTCTGATCTCTAATACTTTTTCTATGGAATAATGGTCAAATTATTTTTGGTGTAATTCCTATAAGCGTGTGAATCAAGGATCAAGCTCCTATAAGTTATGCATCAGTTTCGAGGTGGGAAAGAAGGTTTCTTGCTAGAAATCCCACGGGGCTGTGTAGCACCGGGGTTTTATTTTGATAATATTGGTTGCCTGTTTTTGTGAGATGATTGGAACAGGGGAAGGAGAACTGTGGAGTTCACGCGTTGTGCGATGGAAATTTAGTATGTAAGCCAATTGATTAGATCGAATGCGAAAGAGTCGAATTCACTTCTTAGAGCTCTCGAAGATCCAGTCACTTGGGGACGGGAAACATGTTCGTAAAGCTCGCGGTTGTAGCTTAGAGCTCGTTCCATGTCCTGAAGCTAGAATGTTGAGGGTTGTAATTCCCCAGTAGCTCGCGTCGATATTATGGAGCTCACACCCACCTCTCGAAAATGAATTCATGCGAACTCGAGCCTCTCCCAATCACATTGTGAGGTAAATTCTCATTATGTACTGCACATGTACCTCAATGTCAATAATTGACCATATGATGGAAAATCGAGGAATCTTATTTACTCGACAATCGCTGAAGCTTTGAACTATTATGAAAGCAGGTGAATTGAGATATTGCATAATATGCTTATTACTCGAGTGCTTGATGAGAGTTAGAATATGGATATTTTTTTTTGTAAGATTCAACAAGCATGATATAACTCGTGCGATTTAACTTACAAGCATGAAAATCGATTTATGAGACTGCTATTTTCTTTTAATATTGTGCCTGTCGAGCTGAGTTCATATGATTTATGAGACCGTTGGTAAAAGTGGTTCCTCGGCACATCATTTTCTCAGATGTTCAGAGACTACACCCTTTAAAGTTCAAATTAATCTTCTAAATCGCTGTATAAATGTGGAATTTTGTAGACCTTGTTTACTAGCTCTGAGGATTGGAACTGTTTTACGGATGGGGAATCTAGAGCTCGATTTTATGGAATATGGTATTATTATATCTAATAATGTTCAGCTCGAAGTTTTTGTTAAACCCTTAATCATGTGTATAAGCTCATCGAGTAATTATTGTATGGTTTCTCAAATGACTTAATGCAAATTATTTATGATACTACTGTTTGGAAAGTTTATCTATTAGCTAGTATTTCTCTCTATGATTTTCTAATGATGGGTTCTTGTGAGCTCGAATTAATAGACGTGGGTTTTGAATTTTCCAAAAATTAGATTTTGAGAATATGTGGATATATGTTTACCAAACCAAACCATTATGCTCGCTAATGCTTTCTAAAATGAATCTCTTATTGATTTTTCAAATAATTATGATTATATATAACAGCTGGTCATACTTTGGATCCTCACTCGATTTTGTGTGGCGAGTAACTGTTAACTTCTTAATAAAAGGATGTTTGAATTTTCGAAATGCATTTCGCTAAAGACGCAAATTTGTTTGGTCATTTTGTGCAAGCATGTTAGCTCATCACAATAAGCAATTAATTGTATTCTACTTGATTTAGCTATGATCGAAATATGTACACTTATTAGACAGGGGAAGCATTTAACTTTGATGAATTATTGATACATGTGGGCATGTCGATTTGGTAGTGGTGTTTCTAGATTCTACAGACTAATAATAGCGCTCACATGCTTATGATTTATGATAGTTTCCGGCTTATACATTTGTTGAGCAAGCTTGGAATCATTTCTCGAGATTAGATTTCCAGAAGTCGCATGTATTTCTAAAATGTCTTGAGTTGATCTCTTCAACCAGCATTCAACATTTTTGGCAGCTCGAGTTTCTTTTGCGAGGTGAATTCCAATATATTCATGTGATATATATTTTAATAATTACTTGCACAATGAGAATTTCTTTCGGGATTTTTAACTGTTCAGCAAGTACTTAACTTCAAAATATTTTTCAACTAGATTTGGGATAATACATAACATGCTCATTATTAATGTGTTTTGAAAAGAATTTAGATGAGCCTCTCCGGCCTCTATATGCATGATCAGTATATGTGTGCTTTATGTGATTATATGTTTTCTGAGCATTGTTCATAATTGAGCAGGGGATTGAGGTTGAATTTTATAATGGTATCGGAAGGGAGTTTCTTGAATTACGAGCGTCAAATCTGTTAAATTTAATATTACATTCATGTGATAAGTGACCCAATTATGACCATGTCTATTGAATCGGGTTAGTGAAGGAACTCGCTTACTGCGAGTGAGGCTATTTTATGTGAGAATAACTACCAATGGAGGTTTTACACCTAATGTGTTTCTTGTTTGCGATTCGATTTCTGTTTTTCGTTTGTTTTTCTTTGGGTGTAGAGTAGAGTAACTCGCAAATTACTCTACAAAGCTAGTGACTTGGAGAGATACGCGTAGTTGTATATATTTTAATCGTAGGAAATTGATTTGCGGGGTCCGGCTTCGCAGTTTATACTACTCATGACATCGAGGGGTTTTCTACATAAAATGTTTTCATATTTTTCCTAGATATAACACGAAGAGAATGATACCATTGAGATATCCTCACTCATTAACTCATCGCAAGCTTTGATCCTAGCTCTTTTCGATTACATAAATTGGAATTTAAGCTGATCTCTGTAACCTCGAATTTACTCTTCGATTTTGAGATTTTTTGGAAGCTCGCAGTTCTCTCGTACAGCCCGGAGGATTTCCTGAAGTTCAAAGCTTATCTTCATGATTTACCGAGTTGATTTCCTCGTAGTACAGATTTCCCGAATAAGCTCGACACTCGCAAGACTTTGGGAACTCGCATTTATTTGTGGAGCTCGAAAACACCTCTCGAATTTTGCTCCGTGGAAACTCAAAATTCCTTCCCAGAACTCTACGAGGAGCCCCTATGGAGGTATTGGAGCTCGGCCTCGTTGAAGCCGTGTTGATCTGGTAAGTTCTCGCCTGTCTTACCTATTCCGAGGCTAAGCATGCGAAACATAGAAAATTCTCAATGAAACAGAAGCTGGTAAATTTCAGTCAGGTGTCTTTTTCCTTTGCTCAATGATCTCGGAAATCTCAAAACCTATCTTTTAAAAATGCTACAAAATCGTTTTGCCAAACACTGAAAGAGAAAAGAAGAATGTTAATATAACAAGACCACCCTATGAATGGGTATACGCAATATTGGTTTCTTCGAAGGCCCTTTTTTATTAATGATATTTTTTATTGACGAATCGAATAAGTATGCATAATATTTTAAGAAAAATTGTTAATACATTATAAATGGCAAATATGGCCCGAGTAGTCATGAGTTGAGGTAAAGATTATTACTGAGTCTTCAATAAAGTATTAAGTATTTTATTTTTGAGTCAATGCATTGGAGGAGATTCATGCCAGAGGGTTTTCACGCCCGGGAATTTAGCTCGAGCTAAATGGGCCCCAAAATTGGAGGAGAGACATGCTTGAGCATCCGACACCCTGTGGATATTTTGAAAATCCACGAGCGTGGCGAAATGAAATGGAAAATCTATCCGAGTATTCGGATAGCGAGCATGAGCTCGTTAAACAAAAATCTATCCGAGTATTCGGATAGCGAGCACGAGCTCGTTAAACAGAAATCTATCCGAGTATTCGGATAGCGAGCACGAGCTCGTTAAGATAAAAACCTATCTGAGTATTCGGGTAGCGAGCACGAGCACGTTAAACAAAAATCTATCCAAGTATTCAGATAGCGAGCACGAGCTCGTTAAACAGAAATCTATCCGAGTATTCGGATAGCTAGCACGAGCTCGTTAAGACAAAAAATCTATCCGAGTATTCAGATAGCGAGCACGAGCTCGTTAAACAGAAATCTATCCGAGTATTCGGATAGCGAGCACGAGCTCGTTAAGACAAAAAACCTATCTGAGTATTCGGGTAGCGAGCACGAGCACGTTAAACAAAAATCTATCCGAGTATTCAGATAGCGAGCACGAGCTCGTTAAACAGAAATCTATCCGAGTATTCGGATAGCGAGCACGAGCTCGTTAAGACAAAAACCTTATCTAAGTATTCGGGTAGTGAGCACGAGCTCGTTAAACAGAAATCTATCCGAGTATTCGGATAGCGAGCACGAGCTCGTTAAGACAAAAACCCTATCTGAGTATTCAGGTAGCGAGGACGAGCTCGTTAAACAGAAATCTATCCGAGTATTCGGATAGCGAGCACGAGCTCGTTAAGACAAAAAACCTATCTGAGTATTCAGGTAGCGAGCACGAGCTCGTTAAAACAAAAAAAAAATTCGAGTATTGAAAAGCACGAGCTTCTGATACTTCGCCATAATGAGCGCGAACTTGACATAAAGAATATTATGGATTGGAATGTATCAAAGTAAATATAAAATAAGAAATAAATTGAGAAACATGAAATTGATATAACTAAGCATAGACAATTGCACAGAAAATGAAGCAGGAGATATGGCAGGCTAAGAAATAATTCGAGTGGAAACAAAAGGGATAGGGAAATGGTTGGCTGAGCTCTACAGCTAATTACCCGATCAAATAATACGTGCTTGATCCGACCAAACAAGCATGAACTCACCATTTCGACAAGAAGTCTGAGCCAACGAGAAATCGTAGCATTAACGCAACCAACCCCCAAGAAAATCGGCTCGGAACATAGTCGATGGGTTAAGAAAATAACGCATACTCCAAGCTGATCAATTCGTATTCTTGCGTTCAACTTGGAGTGGGGGACTAGTTGATCCGGACAGATTTACACGGCCCAATAAGACAAGGCCCAACAGAGTTGACCCACCCTCATGGAGAAGATAAAACCATATGGAATATGGGCTTATTTGCCCATTTCATCAGATCTTTATAAATGGCCCAAAACATTGAGCCCACAAGTGAAAGGCCCAAAGAATATAATACATTGTGAGTACAGACGAATTAGGAGACCCCGACGAGCTGGAGACTTGAGAGCTCTTCGACGAACTGGAGACCTCCAAAAGAGCTAAAGATAGCTGACAAGTGCCAAGTGTTGAGCGCCGAGCATCGAGCCTGAGTGACGAGCCAACAAGCGTCGAGCTGACTAGTGCTGAGCCGCCGAGTGTCGAGCACCGAGTGACGAGCCAACGAGCGTCGAGCTGACGAGTGCTGAGCCGCCGAGTGCCGAGCACCGAGCACCGAGCACCGAGTGACGAGCGTCGAGCGCCGAGTCGACGAGCGCTGAGCCGACGAGCGCCGAGCACCGAACGCCGAGTGACGAGCCCCGAGCGACAAATCGACGAACGTTGAGCGCCGAAGTGACGAGTGCCGAGTGCCGAGCGTTGAACGATAAGCTCTAGATGCCACCTCATAACTTAGACACTAAGAATATAAAATATCTTCATAACTTAACCACTAAGACTTATAGTCATGGATTTGAAATAATTCTATTAATCGAATTGGATAAAAGCAATGGCATCTGGAAAGCCTTTCCTATAAATAGAGGGTTCATAAACCTCAAGGTGAGTATTCTGGATCCTACCATTTCTCTCGTGAATATATTTGTCTGAATCTTTGAGGTGTTCTAACTTGGGCGTCGGAGTGCTAACGCCGGGAGCACCTCTCCCGGTCCCTTTTGCAGGTCCGATGAACAGGCCCAGTATAGAACAGAGTTAAAGATTCGAGTTTTCTTGAAGCGGAAAAACCAAACCGTAACCATTACTACAAATATCCGGATACCCACGGATACCCATTTACCATTTAAATTGTGCTAATAAAAATAACTTTGGGTCCGATAACATTTAAGAAACTCTCAGAAAAGAGGAAGAAAAAAAAAAAAAAAAAAGTAAATGATACAAATATATCCTCCCTAAATTATTTAATATTTTTTTTTAAATTTTGCTAAATTGTTATTTTTATTCATATTATGTTGAATTAATATATATATATATATATATATATTATATGGTCGGTACCCATGACCGTAAAGGTAAAACTAGAATTATACCAAAATCATGACGGTTTTCTTTTCTTTTACCAAAACCATTACCAAACCCTAATGGTTTCGGTAACGGGTTCTAAACGGAGTGGATACCCGTGGATAGCTAGCGGATCGGGTTGTTTTGCCATCCCTAGATCAGAATTTACTTTTTCGAAAAATTTTAATTTTTTTCGAAAGTACAAAACTAATTCCAACTCCAATTTCAATTCCAAAACTTTTAGAATCTAGAAATTCATTCCAATTCCAAAAGTTATGGAAATTTTGGAATTTCGGATATTTCAAAAACACATACGTTTTAACATTTTTGAAAAGTTTTGGAAAAATTATAATTTTCCAAAAATAAGAACAACCACCTTCATAAAATCATAACACCGAAACTACTAATATTATAAACTTTAATATTATAAAAATAAATATAATGGTCTTAAATTGCACTAGACACGTATTTTCAACCTGACTAAAAAAAATTAAAAAAAAAAGAGCACTTATTTTCAAATAAGACAAAATTATTAACCCCGAAATGATAAAGTTGAAAGTTGAAACTAGGGATATTTAGCAGTGTTGTTAGAACCGGACCGAACCGATTGGTCGGACCGGTTTGATCGTGACCCGGCAATAAAGTGGTCTGGTCTGATATCTAAAACCAGAGAAATCGAAAACCAGGGTCAAATGACCAAAATCCGGTTCGACCGGGTAAAACCCGAGAACCGACGAGTTAGTTAATGAACCCGGTTTTAAGCCAAAACGTCTCGAATCACCGATGAGTTGGTTATTTGTGGCTTGATTTGAGCGACCCTTCACAGACTTAATAGTGGGTGGCAGGATCTAGTAATGGGTGGTCGAAAGATTGTCGGATATGGTCTTGGGTGATCGAACAGAGGTGGCCGATTGTCGGATTTGATGAATAAAAAATGGAAAAATATAGAATATAAGTGAAAATATAGTAAAAAGTGAGATGAAGTAGATAAAAGTGAAAATAATAAGTGGAAAGATTAAAAATATAAAGAAATAATATTTTTAAAACATTAAAAGTAATATAATGGCATATTAAAAAAAAATCAAAAAGCCGGTTGAACCGGTTCGACCCTATAAACCCATGACCCAAATGGTCGTCCGGTTCCATAGTCAATCCGGTTCTGATAACATTGATATTTAGCAAAGCGAAGACGTAGACTTTCCAACATGACCATAACGCAAAAA